TCAATCAGCTCCTTCATATCCAACAATTTTTGTTTTAAACATTTTTTTATTTAATCGCGATGTTTCGAGTTATTTGGCTATATAAGTTAAAATGGGTCACCCTGTATATATGTATATAATTAATAAGTTAAAAATGGCTCATTTTCTGCGTTAGCAATAAATAAAATACAGTCTGTAAAGTAAGAGCGTGTACAGGTTAATGTGCAGAAAAATTTATTTTTAATGATTTTTAAGTACATAGATTTGTTGTACCCCATGAAAAGAAAAATGATATACCATTAATAATGAATCCAGTCACCACCGACATTGATAATTGCCTCACATCTCCGAGGCATACTTTCCACTGAGTTGACTGCGTATTCGTTTGGTAAAGACCTCCAAATGAGACGAATTTGTCGTGTCAGCTGCTTCAAAGTGCATACTCTTTCTCCTCGAAGCTTGTGCTTGAGATATGCCCACACATTTTCAATGGGATTTGCATCTGGCGATTGCGATGGCCAATCAAGTGTGACGATGCCAGACCGCTCTTTCCACTCGGTGCAAAGCTTGCTCCGGTGTTTTGGGTCGTTGTCTTCCTGTAAGATCCAGTCCTCGTTTTTTTTTTATGAAACATCGTTCAGCAGTCGGTAATAAATGCTTTTCATAAATTTTAAGCATTTTCGGAGCATTTAAATTGTATGTAAACAAATGCAATGCTCCAAAACCCTGTTTTGAAAAGCAGCCCCAAAGATGAACTTTTACAGGGTGTTTAACGGTCCGTTGTATTAATCTATTGGTCAAGGTTGACCAGGAACGTCGGATGGTAATATATCCCCAAACAGAAGCTTCGTCCGTAAAAATCACGTTGCTCCAATCTCGGTCCAAATTCTCCTTTGCCCAAGCGAGTCTTTTCATCACATGTTTTTCGCCTAACAGTGGTTTCTTCATTGTGCTTCGATATTTGATGTTATGCGTAAGGAGATGGGTTCGAATAGTTGTATGTGATATTTCTATACCCTTCTGTTTTAATTTTGCTGCTCCTTGTCGCAATGTTAAGGTCGGGTTCCGCTTAAATAAATTCACAATTTTTTTTTCGGCGTCACTTTGCCTATCGAACCACGTTCTGGTAAGTCATCGACATTTTTTGTCTTCTTATATTGCTGAACCCACTTAGCGACGAACGATTTTGACTTTCCCATGTATTTAGCAGCCGCTACATATGATATTTTTGGTCCTTTCGGGTGGGAACAAAGGAACACAGCCTCGTAGCGCGATGCGTATGCGGCACTCATAGCGGTTACCGTGTTTCTCAGATAAGAATTCGACACCAACTGAATCTTTTGTGACAAAGCATTCACGACAAAGGTTCCATCTATCGACTCACACAAAAACTAGGACGATATTCGAAGCCAACTGCCATTTATGCCGTACATGCTCTTACTTTACAGACTGCTTGTAATTATTGTTGTTTCTACTATTTTATATACAGGGTGTCTCAGAAAATGTTACTGAAACACAGTGGGGACATAGATTGGATCAAGGGGAACAAAACAGTTTTGTACCATTTTGCAGTTGACGCAATATTTAACGAGATATTAACGTTTA